AAAAACTAAGATCAAATCAAATCAAGTACACTTACATTTCGACAAATTCCTTTCAACTTAGCCTAAAATTATTTTGAATGTAAGAATTTATTATTTGATATACATATCTGTAACATTTTGTATTTTGGTATATCCCTTTGACCGGTCTTAAACTCTCATAAATGTATCGTGAAACTATAGTTATTTTATGTAAGTTTGAAAATAAACATTTTCTTTTATTTTACGAGATGCTCATGTTAATTACTACCCATTAACGATATTCATTTAAGAATAGTTTTTGAATAGATTGATATTGAAGACTATATTCAGAAGTGTTTTTTTACAAATGTAAGAATTGGGCTTCCAACTTAACATAATTTTATTGAATATATTGGAGAGATCCAGAAACTTCCTCGAAAAAAGCTTTAAAAAAGGCTGTGAGAACTTTGAGAAACTCCTTATGCAATTGGCATTCAATAGAAGTTTTGCCAGAAACATCTAGAAAGTGAAAAGCCACATATCGTGTTTCTGATTGGATGATTACTTATACTGCTACTATGTTTCATAGTGTTCCAGAATTTTCCAGAAGTCCAAAGCCATCCAAAATGCTGTAAAAGCCCTAGATTTTCTGTATAAAAACGAGCCTTTGGAATAAAGTGTTTTTTTCCATATTTCGCACCTTTTCTCTCGTGTTCAAGTCATTGTGTAAATTTAGCCTGGGGGCTACTAGAGGAGCTTAGGAACCGAATCTAGAGTTCAGTTAAAAGACTAATATCATGGCTTGTAAAATAACCAAATACAATTTTTTGTAATAATTAGTCTAATCATTGTCTTTGTAGTTATTTGAGAATAAAACCTATCAGCATATATTTCACTGTTATACTGTATATCCTTCAAGATTTCAGTCCCTGGTTTAGAATTTTTTTAAGTTTACTAAGCTGTAAGAAAAAAACGGTTGATCATATTTTAAGTTTAAACCGGTTATTGACGTATATATTAAAATGTTGTATTTCAATCTGTCAATAATCTTTAATAAACCAGTTTCTAAGGTTGTATTTTTAAAATGCCATTCACTATGAATTCAACTTAACTCATAAAGTAATTTCTGGAATTCATGGAGTGAGTTATTCTTTCGAAAAATAAAAGAATCTTATTATTAGTATCTTTGAACTTGTGGGGCCTCTCATTTTGATGTCAATCCAATCGGATGATGTTATCAACGGGATCACCACTTTAGTAGCCCTATATCTGACTCCAATGAGATCGTATGAATAATTGTTGTCAAAATATACATCCCGGCTATCCTCAAATAAAATTATCGACTTAAATCGCATTAGTGAATAACGGAATTAAATAAGTCGAATATGAGAATGAAGTTTGAAAGAGCATATTTCATACAATCTTTGATCTGAAAAAACTATAAGGGAGACTGAGTAAAGAGGAGAGAGAAGGTAAATAACGCGCAGTGGAGAAGCCGTGTAAGCCAACTACATTTAATCAAGCGTTAATCGATATTTATAGTCACACAAAAACAAACTACAGACATGTGATGAATAAGATAAGAAGTGTACGCACGTACGCTGATATAAGAACAGTCAAGGTTGATAGGTGAATAATTAACAACGTTAAAACGTGGCTCAAGAAGAATAGATAAATTGGCTTATTCACAAGCTAGAATAAATTATCTGAGGTTAACATAGTAACCGACTCTACAAACTCATTGTTTAAAAGTTATCAATCTTAAGCGTCGAATGTCTACTTCAAAATAATCATGAATTTTAGAACCATCAAATTATGTGACAAACACTTCAAAAGATTCCATTTAATAAGCTCTAAAAAGACTTGTTCAAAAAGTTGTTTATCTATGTATAGATATTATGTTCATAGGATAAAACTGAGGAAAAAGTAACTTCAATTGAATATTGCTTGAGTTGTAATAGTTGTCTTCAAAAATTCATAAATAAATATAGAAATACGCTAATTTACGTACACAGTTATAATCTAATAGTTCATATCTTTATTCTTCAAATTATTAACAGTACTGTGGATGAAATATTTTTGGCAATTGTAAGAACTTGATATTTTTTCACTGTTTGATTGTCGATTAAGTTTTTAAAGATTTTATTGAATTACTTGAAATCGCTATTACTGATCATTAAACTAAAACATTTCAGGTAAAATTCAAGATGTTTTTTTTATTATTAGTCACAACTGGCTGAATAGATGGTGCAAGTCAGTGATTACCTATAAATCACTTTATGATAAAGTTTAAAATAATAATGCTAGTCGATGGGTCTAATTGTTTCATATATCAATGATTAGTTTAAATATCAAAATTAATGTTGTATTTGTTACTTACAAAGAATTTGCCCTGAATTCAGTAGCTTCTCATCAATTGTATACAAACTAGTAGTTATTGTTCTAGCTCCATAGAAAAGATCACTAATTGAGTACTGATAAGAATTTCCAGTTTAATAAACAAGTTCTATAGAATAGACGTAATATGAGCATTTCATCTTATTTGGAACTCCTCTACTGGGTATGCATTCACCTCGTAGTTGATGTTGATCCCACTATTAACAACATTTCATATATTGTATAATAATTCGTTACATAATGTAATTCACACAGAATGCACATATACTAACTAAGACAAATGGAAGTTCAGTAAATATATCACTGACGAGATGATCCAAGAACTAATACAAATTGGATTAACAATCAGTTCATTTTCATGTATTCATGATGGTTAGTAAATAATTGTTATTTCCTTAGAAATATGAAATTCATACTTCACTTGAAAATATATCTAAGTGAAATTAATTTTGTGACATAAGACTGATTAAAGTAGAGTGGTAAATAGTCCAGTCAATTTTTTTTCAAATATCACTTCAAAATAGACATCAAGTACAAATTGCTTGGAAGAAAAATCACAAACATTTCAGTAACTTAACATATTTATCGAATATAAATAAGAACACTTACAGACAAATCCCATTCTGGATAACGTTCAATATCTAGATTAGATAAACGTCTGACAAATTCTTTAATTGGATGAGACATCTAACCGACTGAAATATAAAGAAAATAAAGAGATATTATATTTATTTGAATGATACTATTACTTCGTTTCTTACAACAAATGGAAATTTTACCTTACTATTTCAACAGGAATCTATGTTATTATTTGAAAGATCTTAATGCTACTAGTAATAGTCTATTATCATTTGATCTTCTAATAATTAAATGGTACTTATGAACACTTTTGAAGGTGTTCAATATATATAATCGTTACAAAGAATTTTATAATGAATACTATTTCAGCTTATTTATTGAGTATGGTTTTAAGTAACGTTATTTGATATGTATGATCAAATGACAACTAAAAGTTACAAGATAACTTAAATCATTATATATTTCAAATATCATACCTTTTTTGGTATACTGCTAGAACTGATATTACAGTTTGATATGATTTATTATATAGTTCAAGTATAATACAGTCAATCATTATATTACTTATATAATGATACTGAAATCAATTTCGTGTTCAACGATTGTCACTTTCAATTATACGCAATTAGTCATACAAACAAGAAGAGAAGAGGATACTATGAAATGGGAAATAACTATATTTTTATTCAATTACTAGTTCTAAACGTAACCCATACTACTTTTATCATTTCAAACAATCATAACAATATCACTATTAACAAACAAACAAATGAAAAGATCTTTTTTTTTCATTTATACAATATCATTTATTATTCTTGGCATCAATTTCAACTTCATCTTCATCACTTTTTATAGCTTTCAACATAATTCATGATAAAAATAAATAAAATAAAGAATATTAAATAAAGAAAAGAATAAAAACAAAAGTTTTATTTGTAAATAAAATGAAAAATTTGTTTAAATTAACAGTTAGGAACTATTCCGTTGAATTTGCGCGAAATTTCAAATAAGAGTATATGTATATAAATAGATAGATAGATAGATATACTTCAATTTGTGTAGATTCAATGTTGAATGAAAACAGAATACATTTAAACGGGTAAATGTTTAACTGAATAAAATAGATTTTTAAACAATGAATAAACATTATTCAGAAAGATAAAAAAATTTTTTCTTTTTTTCAGTTACAGAAAAAAAAGAAAAAAACAGGGAGGAAATTGTTAAAAATTTACAAGAGAAGAAGTTAATATACGTCAGAGTAACTGTTAGATTTATATTTTTTATGTTAGATTTAGAAATCACAGTGTTATTCATTCATGAATATTGAATTGTGTATTACTCACATATGGTAAATAAGTAGTATGATAAACATTTTTTTCGTAATAAACTGTTTATTATGATTGCATTTAATCTAAATAAATCAACTATTTTATTTGTTAATAATGATAGACATTATATATGAAAATTATATTTGAAATAATCTCAGTAATTGAAGTTTAAAATAATCTCAATGTTTCGTCCAGCTAACTTGTCTGGACTTTTTCAGGATGATAATCAGAATCATCAAGGAAATATATTATAGTGTTTAACAATCAAATCTACACTGTGTTAATCCGATCATAGTTGGATGTTGATTTTTAATAAATAGGATAATATGAGTCAATTAAATGTTAATCGTGTGAAAACTTCACGATATGAAAATAAATGACTGAAATGGATTGATATTTATTCTCACATCGTGAACTTTTCACACGATTTGTATTTAACTGACTCAATATTATCTTATTTATTATTAATCAACATCCAACTATGATCGGATTAACACAGTATAGATTTGATTGTTAAAACACTATATATATATTTCCTTGATGGTTTCGATCATTACCCTGAAGAAGTTTAGACAAGTTAGCTAGACGAAACATTGGAATTATTTTAAATTTTAAATGCTGAGATCGGTTCAAATATAATTTTGACATAGAATGTCTTCTCTATATTCGGCGCCCAAATTTTGTCAAACTGTTTGTTCTAATCTTGACGAATATTTGTATAAGTTAATAATGATATACTCAATAAGCATAATCTGTTCGTTGAGTTAATAGTTTACCATCTTGTTCATACGTTGATGCTGACTGATAATTATATTGATTGGTAGGGTCAATAGGATGATGAAATTGTTGTCGATGATGATGATTGGATTCACCCTTTATCGTTGAATTTTGTTCATAACCTGGATAACTTTTAACTGAAGCATAATCATCTTGATCAAATGAATGATCAACTGAATCAGTTTTTAAAGGTGGTAATTCTCTATTCTGTGGTCTTTCAACATTATAGCAATGACGTAATAAGTACATGACTGGTACATATCCTAAAGTGATTAATGTCATAACAATATTGAGTCCAACAAATTTAATTGTATCCACAAGTCCACCAGCCACAATTGGTCCCAAGGCATAAGCTAAACTATATGAAATATCAGCGATTGCATACACTGAACCATATACTGAAACATGACGTGTATCTACAAGAAAACCCATTGTAGGCAATATTGCTGTATCAACTAATGCAATACCATAACACAAAATACTAATAGGAATCATTAATGCAATAAAATTAGTACAGAATGGTATCAAGAAACAACTTCCTCCTTCAATAGCTAAACCAACTGCAGCCATTAACCATTGTTTACTTGGATATTTATCAGCTAACTTAATTGTTGTTATAACTCCAGCTAAATGTGGTAAAAATGCTGGTAACCATACTAAACCTTCTTGTGCATTTGTTGCTTTCATACTTTTTGACATCCAGTTTGATATTGTCGGTTCTAAAAATGCAAGTGATACATTAGCTACAGTGAGACATCCAGCACATATAGCAATATAAGGATCCATTAATAAACGATGTATTGGAGTTCCTTTAGGTAGATTACCTTGAGTTTTTAAAACTGTTCGTTCAATTCTAACTGGTTGCATAATAATCAATAATAAGCAACCATCAAATAGTGCTATAAATGCAAGTGTAATAAATGGTAATTCTTTGCCAAAATATTGATAAACTATTCCACCAAATGGAGGTGCTACTAATGAACCAAATGATATAAATGCTAAAGCTATTCCCAATGCTTTTGTACGTTCATATTCATTTGTATATCGATCAGCTATCATTGCTAAACCGGCAGTATCAGCAAAAGCTGAACCCATGCCTTGTAATCCTCTAGCAATAAACATTAATCCATATGAACTACCAAATGCAAATACAGAAGTTGACAAAAATATTATACATAAACCAAACATCATTGGTACATCATAACCAATTCGATCAATTACAGTTCCTGATATAGGATTACATAATAATTGTATTATAGCTTTAAATGCAAATAATGTACCAATTTTAGTTTCAGATTGATGAATAAGCCATTTTATTTTATAATCACCATTAGTTTTATTAAAATAAAGTTTTCATCTTTTAATCTTTTAGTATGTGTAGCATTAATCCAATAAATTTGTTTTGTATCCATTGCACGTAGATTTTGTAAATAATCCGGAATAATTGGTACTATAACCATGTATAACATATTGTCTAATAATAGAGCTATACAAACAACAAATAAAACCATACGACGTTGGGAATTTGGTTCATTAATTTTAGACATAAATGTTTGTTTGATTGTTTCAAAATTTGTCATGGTAATGCTAAAACAAAATAACAAATAATTATGTCATTAATTTATTAAAAAGTAATTACATTTTAAAGTGCTTTTTTTTGGAAAAAACAGTACCTTTCAGATATGTCAATGTGAGAAACCGTGCGTGACCAGAGGAATTCAATCATGTCGGGTGTGATACAGTTACTCTACGAAGATAATTGAAGATGGTTGCACAATATCATGGATTATTTGAAGTTAAATATTGACACCATTGGACACTGGCGCAGTGGTCTAGAGGTTATGCGTTCGTGCGAGACTGAAGATTCTGATTTCAAGTCTCGCGTGCAGGTTTGTGATGCACATTAGTGAGAAGTTCCATACTAGGATGAAATGACCATCCATTGCTTTAAGGTTATCGATGGTGATCTAACATTGATCGGTTCACGAATTTAATGAAATTGAGGAATTGTTGAAGACTGGACAGCTATGAGGCCGTCCAGCAATGTACACCCAGGACGCTACCAGAGATTGAATCCAGAACTGTAGAATCTTACAGAGGGTACGATAGCCTTAGATCACTGAAGTGCCATTGAATGGCTCACAGTGCCGACTTGAACGAACTTGTGATATGGTACAACCCTTATCATTTATTATTGATACTAAAAATCTCAATTACAACATTGTTGAACTGTACCAGATGTTCGAAATTTCGTCTCAAGGCCGATCACTAGTGATCAAACGATGGAATGCACGCTATGGAAATCAATCATGTAGTTCGCGTAATATGAAACTATACTAGGTGTTTATCTAAGTGATAATAGTAATAATAAATAACCTTATGTGATCCATTGGTTGATATCAAAAAAGAAGGCTACACTTTAGTATCTAAAAAACAAGAGTTATCACCTTTTGTTACAAAGGTGATCTGAGACATATTCAAAACTACTTGCTTCTTAAAAAGCGTTAGATACTTTATCTTATCACTTATTTCTATCTACTTTTATTGCTGGCTTCTACTATTATTTTTATTATTATTATATTAAACGACCATTTTGGTGGCATGCTTATAATATTTATTTTGAAGACTTTTCGAGCTATATATATATATATATATATATATTGATTGTTTTTATAACAACTCTGTTCAATATCTGAGCAACCAATATCCTGACTAACTGGTATATGTAAATAAATAATATATTTGTAATATCCCAATGAGTAGAAAAATTAGATTTTCTGACATTTCGTGACTTAGTGTAAGTCACTTCTTTAGAGGTTATTACAAATATATTATTTATTCATAACAATCTACCCAATGCTCAGTTTATTCAAAATTATCAAATCAAACCTTGGTAATAATACCTATAACTGGTGTATGTGCTTGGTTCAAAGATCAGTGGTGTAAAGTTACCATATGAGTGATTAAAGTGAAACACCATTAAGTTTAAATTTTGACAATAATTTCCAACCATATCTAACATTAAAGTAGGCAGTCTTTATGTCATCATTTTTGTATCTAAATTAGACTATACGTGCATCTGCACTTATTAACCCTGTTATTACTACTATTGAAACGATCATTATCAATTTTCAAGACATTCCGGTCAATAAGGTGATACTAGAATGTTCATAGATGAATCATTATCTTGCCGGCGAATTTCGTATTTAAACATTTATCATACTACACAGTATTTAGTCTTATCAGTTTTATGTACTGCCTGAGGGATTGATCCTTATTCATATTTCTTATATTACTGGAATTAATTTGTAAAACATTTGTGTTTACGTACGCGTATATTACTAAGTAAGCTAATTCCTTCTATATTCAATTAAAATAAAAGCACACCAACGATTTCAACGGAAAAATAGAAATTATTCATATTTTACCAAATGATGACACCGTTCGAAAACTATTTTATTCCAGAGAGTTTTATTTTACTGTAGAACCCTTCACTAATGTTCATTGGTAAATAGATCATAAGTGTATTTTCCAAGTTTTATAAAGAAGTCCTAACTATTAGAGCGTAGACATGAACAATAAACGTAGAGCAATATTATTTGTGAATTAGGATGTTGGATATGTAAACCACTGAATTCCAACAGAACAATACAATGACAGAGTACTTACTTTTAATTCCAAAAATCCTATGTTTTATTCAGTCTTGTACCATGGGTTTGTATTGATGTTGATCCCCTTTTTTAAAGCAGCATACATTCAGCGCCCTTTGGTTTTAAAGTGTCAGTTTTAACTTTTCTTAAGCCATATGATTATTTTACCGTTATTCTAGTTCTATATAAACTATGAAGTTTATTTTTTCTGATTACAGAATACTCCCTTTGTTTTAATATTACGAAATAAAAGTATAATACATAATCACTTTCTATCAGGCTATATTTTTTAATGGTACTTGGTCACGTCAAGTTATCATGTCATATCTATGTAAATTATTTTTCCCTCTTGACTGTATATTCTACTTTTACATGGACAATGGGTTCAAATTAACGAATGGCGGACCTTTTGGAGATAATTATCTTTAAGTATTCTTCATACATGATTGCAGTATAATACAGGAATCTCTCCAGGATTATATATATATATATATATATATGACAATCAATAGGGTTGTGGTGTGGTTTACTTATATTCACATAAGTAGTATATAATGGTGGTCAGGTATAGAATATATTTCAGTAGAGGATCAAGATGCAAAGAACGGAACAGTACGCAATTGGTATGAAAATGCATGAACAATGAAATCTGAGACAAGATACTGATATTTGTAAAGGAACAGTGATGTTTGAGATGATGGACTGATATTTTGCAAATTAACTATTTACTATATGGTTCTTAGATTTTATTGAGATGCTCTGTAATTTTGTGCTCAAATATATTCGATTGTCCCCACTGGTGTTTTGTTCACTACAGGGTCAGTGATATAATTATCAGATCTATATTCATTACATTATTAACTGATATGAATATTTAATTATCACATTATTCGATTAACAGAGTTCACCAACTACATCAAGATGATTTCGTGAAACTTAGTTCGATCAAATGAAGAATTTAGTTACATTATTATTGATTTTTATCCTTAATCTGTAAGAAATTGAAAAGTATCCTAAATAAGTTATACCAATCAATTACATTTTATATTTATATTATAACTTGTCTTTTTATACTTTCATTAACCCGAATAAAATAATACAAAATGAATCTTATTTAACTTGAGGAACTAAGTTCAAATATTATTGAAACAATATGATTATTGATGTATAAATTATCAATATGATGATTTATACAGTTTAATTACGCCTGTTACTCCCAATGGAGCATAGGCCGCCGACTAGCATTCTCCAACCCACTTATAAAGTTTAACCTAAGGGTATTAAATGATCCTTTTATTCTTGACTAATATATTAAACTATTCAGTTATACCTATCACAACCAGAATATTATTACCATGTTAAATAACTACATTAAAGAAATGTAAACATTTTAACAATTTACCTTAAAATGGTTGGTATTAATTCCATTTTGTAAAATGTTTCACTATTAAACAAATAAATAACTAAATACTGGAATAAAACAATGTGTTAGATACTATGGGAAGTTTATGGAGATTTATTAAGTTTCATAGTTAACACTACGGACTGATTTAAGTTAAACTATTACTGAATGCTTAAGATCAATTTGCTTTCAGGTTTTCAATGATTGTTTAACTAAAAGAAGCTCATGATAATAACTAGTGAATAAGAGCTTGAAATGAATTGTAATAAAAAGTGTAAACAAGATTATGAATGAGTTTGTCGTGTCATAAAACAACGTGTTTTTTAAAAAAAGTTTTGTTTATGAAACCCAATCTGAACAATTATAGAAACTTTAAAAAGGTTGACTTTCTCTAAGAATTTCCTGTTTAATAATTTTACTGCTCGAATTTCAGATTTCTTTAAAACAATGAATTTACGTTATAAATGTATAGAATAGGCATCAGTTATTTAGTCTCAATTGATGAAGTCTTAGAAATGTTGAACGTTGACTACATGTGCGACTGAATTAGGTATCGTAGTTCTGAAGATTAAATTAAATCACTGTTTGGGATAAAATAGTATCATGTTTATCCCATGTTTTTCAGTTTAGGACAGCTCACAATGTAGAGAACAGAACACGAGTGGAGACAGTCGGATGTATTTGAGCACAAAATTACAGAGCATCTCAATAAAATCTAAGAACCATATAGTAAATAGTTAATTTGCAAAATATCAATCCATCATCTCAAACATCACTGTTCCTTTACAAATATCAGTATCTTGTCTCAGATTTCATTGTTCATGCATTTTCATACCAATTGCGTACTGTTCCCGTTCTTTGCATCTTGATCCTCTACTGAAATATATTCTATGCCTGACCACCATTATATACTACTTATGTGAATATAAGTAACCCACACTATAACAATAATCATCCAGAGTTCTTGGTAAATTATTGTCATATTTCTCAAATGGTTGTGTTGATTTCACAAAACCACCGAAAAAAATAACTTCACGATAAAAATCTAGGATTACAGGTTTTAGTTCATTTTTGGCTTTAAATGTTGATTACTTATCTGAAAACCGGAAGGTTCTAGGTTGTAGGTTCTGTTTGCTGACAAGTGGAAGACGATAATGAAATAATTGACTATATTCTTGAGTTTTAATAAGCCTCCTTCTTTCTAGTTCATAACGAATTGGGAAGGAAACCACTTTCAGGTTACATAATATCCTACTCAATCCACATGAATTATTAATTAAATAATTTTTTTATGCATATTATGAAGTTAACAATTTTATTCTTTGGATTTCAGTTCTTTTTGTTCTAATAAAATTAAATTTGATTCAAAATCCAGTGTACTTGGATTGAAAATTCACTCGGTATTATTTGTGGGGAAATAGCTTAATGTCTATAAACTTAGCATTAAAACTACATTTATGTTTGTTGAATCACTCGAAATCCATATTTCGACTACCATTTAAGGGACTTTACAAAAGCCATAACACTA